CGGGTTCCCCTCCTATATAAAGGGAATCCACACTACTTTGTAAGGGGATGATGTTGCTCTAACTATTCTCCACCAGATCAATAATATCTCTCTCTCTTTTTTCTCTCTAACGTGCTCGTCTATACTAGCTCGAGGTTACTCTTAGCGTTTCTTGCTTTCATACTTGTTCTTCATTTGTTGCTTGGTATTGGCCATAAAGAGCCTTATTCGATTATACCTTAACTATTATCACATTCTCGACTGCCCCCGGTAGCTCGAGCTCGAGCCATATATCGACCTCGAGGTCCTTCATCGACCAGTCCAAGGCTCGGGCTGCAAGCATCTCGGTTTCATTACTGCCCCGCTTTAGCTCGTATTTCTTCGTTAAACCTCATACTCTTAGCACCATCTGCTCTAACAACTAGCATAAAAATAGATCACATATTTTTAGAGTCTTATTTACAAATTTAATTGTTGTTACCATTTTCACGGTAAACAGTTTGGCGCCCATCATGGGGCTAAAAATAATAGTGATTATTTTCTTGTTGGTTTCATTACAAGAACACAAGTTATCTTTCACACTTTTTCTTGTCCAAGATCTCTTGATTTCAGGTCGAAATGTTTGGCTCGGTAAATAAAGTCGAGAGAGACAACCTCGAAAACCACGGGGAAAATGGCGTGGTTGTTTCGACTGCCAGAACGCAACCACAGAGTCCCGATAATACACCCAGACCTATTCTAGCAGACGCGAATTCACAGGACGCGCAACGGGTCGACAAAACCTCGTGCACCAACTGAAGCATACAACATGGCGACCCATATGAAGCCCAAAAGAACCCAACCTGGGAAGAACATGAAGTTAGTCTTCATGTTATTTTTGAAATGTTGCAGGCACAATAGTTGGCCATCGTTCGGTTACAAAGCCATCCGAAGACTCCCAGCACAACAGCGCCAGAAACAGCTCCCCCCGCCAAGCAAGTACCCGAGAGATCAAGTGAAAACGGATTGGTAGCCAACCTTGCCATATCAAAGAGGCTTGGGGATCTCACTAAAAGGATCGAATCAGGTTCGTGGAAGTTCGTGCAACGACCGTTCCCCGAGGAAGCGACCCTGGAACCCATTTCAAAGAAGTCTAGAATGCCAGAACTCCCTAAGCACAACGAGACCTCAGATCCCAACGAATACATCACCGCCTATACGTGCGCGGGAAAAGGCAACGATCCAAAAGATGATAAGATCGAGCCCGTCTTATTGAAGAGGTTCGGGGAAATATTCTCGAAAGGAACCATGACGTGGCGTCATAACCTAGCACCCGAACCCATACACTCGCTTACCATACCAGAAGATTCCTCTATACATGTCGATGCCATCGAAGCAACGACGAGAAAGCCCGACACATCCAGGGCCGAACAAAGGGAGAATGAAACGCCATGAGAATTCGCACCTCATTCCCTGATGGAACGAATGAGATTACCCCCGATCTCGGATGACTGGGCAATACAGGACTTCACTCAAAGCCTAAACAACCCAAGCCCAACGATTTTAGGGTAGTTCAAACAAAACTTGATCAGGTGCCCAGAAAAGACCTAGTCGGATGCCCGTACCCGACATCAGTCGCAAATCAGGGTCGTGGATGACCATCCGGGAGCCTCCTGGGCTCAGCTTACCCAAACAGGCTCCTGGCAAATAAACCAATGCCAAACAGAAGGAGGTACTACCCGTGCGCCGCAGACAGGAAGAACGCCCCGAGATGCAATCTACCTCACAACGATCGGAGAATGGCCCGAGGATAATATCCTCGAGGAATCGTTAACAAAGCCAGATTCGACGAGGACGCATGGCTGACAAGGACGCCTCGCCCAACAGAGTTCAATTTCCACATCGTTGTACCAAACATCGTGTTCACCATAGGCGAAACCAGGGACGTCAAATGGCTCGGACCAATTCGGTCGAATTCCTCTCAAAGGAATCACGACCTAGCGCGGGAACTACATGGCAAGTGCGATCGTTTCCTCCTTCGGGTACGTTCAAAGAGGATCTTACTCCTTTTGAGAATGAAGATCCAAAAATAGGGTTGATGTGGACGACACTTGGAGTGCTTGTTGTCCTAAAGAGCTTGACTTGCTCCTTGTAATCGGTCCAAAGCTTCCAAAGGTAACATCGAGGATGCTTTTCACATTAGCATGGAACTTGGAATTGGCAGCCTTGGTGGATGTTGATTTTCTTTGAAGCCATTTCGATATTCTTGAACTTTGATGATTGAAAAGTTGAGATGAGAGGTAGAGATTGTCCCACTGGTCGTGTTAGAATTTGTAGACAATAAATTGCATCGAGAACTATTGCAACGATCGTAGTATTTGATTTCAAATATTTGAGTGTTACAATCTCTATGAATCTTCCGATTCTTCTTTCCAATAGCAAATAAATTCAAGGGCTTTTGAGCTTGAGCTTGATTTGTTCTTCGTTCTTGAGCTTGAACTTGATTTGTTCTTCGTTCTTGAGCTTGAACTTGATTGCTTGAACTTTGAAACTTGTGGAGGAATTTGCAGCGTTTGATACACGAGCTCTTTCTTGTTTCTTGTTATAATTTATGATATTTTTTTGGGTTATGAAGACCCCTATTTATAGTTGTGGAAGGAAAGAGTTATGATAAGAACAAACTCTTTCCGACCAATCAAATCGATGTGTAACAAGGCCGCATTTGATTGACCAGAACATGTCACTTGCACATGTGGCGCGATTTCATTGGCCTTTTAATGTGACATGGCATGCCTTGTTATTTTGACACGTGGCATGATCCTATTGGCTCTTCTGTTTGACTTGGCATGCTATATCATTTGACACGTGACACCAAACTGAGCCTCTAGGAAGATAACATCTTGGGCCTAATAAAGTTGGTTCATCACATGTAACCAGTTGAATGGGTAGCCCAATGAATTCAGACTTATTTATTTAATCTATATATATTGAACTTATATAACTAATCAAATTATATTAGCCCAATAAATTTATTTGAACTAATAAATCTTGAATTTAAAATATAGTCAGAATTATTTTACAAATTTAATTTCAACAAAATTTATATGTCTGCAATTACTTTTTTTTAAAGATACAAACAAAAAGGCCAATAAACAGTCACTTCAACTTCATCTTGTTTGGAATTGAATGCGTTTAGGAGTTGTTTGGTTGTCATGTTAATTATTCAGGGATTATAAATATAAAAAGTATTTATGTGGTAAAATATAACAAAGAAATTATTATGTAATAATTAATAAATAGTTATTCATAATTAATAGTAAAAAGTTGTTATATAGCGGTTACTTACTTTTACTTTAAGGTCTACTTCAAGTTCAAGGACATATTTATTTTGAAATATTGCAATTATACGCACTCTTATTTTTATTTTTATATATAAGTTTTCACATAATATAATATCAGTATTATTTAATACCACTAGTCAAACATTGTATCGAGTTATGCATGTATTATTTTTTGTACGATCAACCCAGTGCTGCATTAATTATGGTGGGATTCCTTTTTATAATCCACCCAATCATTGTATTAGTTTATGATAATTTTATATTGAACTTATTTTGCTAATACATCTAATTACAGAAAAATTTATGCAATTATTAATAATCTATGGATCGTATGCGACAATTTTAATATAAGGATTGTAAAGCATCTATTAGTAATGCAATAATTTATAATTAGGGGTATTCACGGTTCGATTTAATCGGTTTTTGATTAAAACCAAAACCAAACCAATTTAATCGGTTTTTAAAATTTTAAAACCAAACCAAATTAAATACAAACCATCGGTTTGGTTGGCATTGGTTTGGTTCTGTTTTTCGGTTCTTAGTAAGCTAATAATAAGTCGATAATAGTGAAACAACACTAGACAATGATCTGAAAATAATTTGCTAAATTTATACTTTTATATATTTTTTTTCGGAACTGAAAGTTTATTTACCTCTTTATATGAAAAGAATGAACAAAAAAATAAACTAAAAGTTTGCTTTCTCAAGCTTTAGCCACTGTAGTCCTGCAATTTGAGTTTGCTTTCTTTACTCTTATGGTAGATTTTTTTTAACTCTTATGTTGGGCAAAAGTATGTGCGGAGGGTTAGAGAATTAAAGTCTCTTAAGGAAAAGAAAATTGGTCGATTCCTATTGTTTTGGGTTTAGGCAATCTTTTAAGATATAAGTAGGATAAACCAAAATTTAAAATAACAATTAAATTGCATAAAATATTTAAAATTATTTAGAAAAAGATATTATATTGTATATAAATAATTATTAAATTTTGTATATAATTAATCGATTTGGTTCGGTTTAATTTTTGGTTTTTTATTATAGAACCAATACCAAATCAAATATTATCGGTTTTTAAAATTTAAAACCAAAACCAATCCAAATCAAAATAAATATCGGTTTATTTAATCGGTTTGATTTGATTTGATTTTCGGTTAGGATCGGTTTTCCGTCAAACCGTGAACAGCCCTATTTATAATGCAATGGTTAATAATACAAAAAATGTTGTGATAATAATAATAATAATAATTTATGACAGTTCGCTGGTTGAATGAGCGACGTATAGGTTAACACTGATTTTCGTGTCCATCAAAAGGTTACGACTAAAACCCTAATCCCAGGCACACCGTTATCCATGGCAGTGTTGAGCTGGAAGCAAGTGTTGGAAGACAACAACACCACTGACCCAAACTCCATTACTTCTCTTTCCCTTACTCACAAAGCTCTTTCTGATGTATATTTATAAATTTCCAATCTCTCACAAAAAAATCCAATTTTCTTATCTCATAGTGTTGCATTTCAAGGTTTCATTTTTCTACGCAGGTTTCGTGTTTGAGCGAGTTCAAGAATTTGCAGAGGCTTGATCTTGGCTTTAATAATTTAACTTCACTTGAGGTAATTAAACAAAAAAAACAAACAAACTTTTTTTGTCTCTTTATTTTTGGGTGCTAAGATTTGAGGATTCAATTTTTGTTAATGAAATTTTAGGGGTTGAAGTTATGTGTGAATTTGAAGTGGCTGTCTGTTGTACAAAACAAACTTCAGAGCTTGAAAGGGATTGAAGGGCTTATTAAACTCACTGTGAGTTGTGCACTTTGATTCCCTTTTTGCTGCCCTTTTTATCCTTTTAATTGTGAGCTATTTCACTGGTAAAGAGGGTAGTAATGAGTTTGTTTACAGTGTATGATTCTATATGCATAATTTGTTAATGAATTTTCTGCTTTTGATTACTTTTTAAAATGGATTTTCTAGCTTGCTATCGTTATTGTTATCTATGAGCTCTCCGATTTCATAAACTTGTGTGTGTTAAAATGTCAGATTATGCTACAGCCTGTGAGACATCTCAAGAAGTGGAAACTGAATAACCTGAAATTTGAAACTTGGAGTAACATGGGAAGTTGAATATTTTCTATTCTACTAAACTATCCTGCTGTCATTTTTTTTTTGGATGAAGTAATTGGTTTCATTGATGGCACCAAGAAGATGCAGAATAGTTACAAAAGTAATGAAAGTTGCTATCTCCAATACAAAAAGGCAAAAAAATCAGCTTAATACTAGGGAGCTAACAAAGTTCAAATAACTATCAGGAGAACCTACAGGGGTTAAATAAGTCCAACTAAAGAAATACACTAGGCAGATAGGTTTGAGAGACTGGACACCATTGATATCCCATCAAAACACCTTCTATTCCTTTCATTCCAGATACTTCAAGAAATGGCTGCAGGTGTCATCTTCCATATTTTCCTGATGGAGCTATCAACTTTCCAAAGGCTCCAGCTCTCAAAAGCTTCCCTGAAGTTTTGTGGCATGACCCATCTGTGTCCAAAAAGAGATATAAATATATTCCAAAGATCTGCTGCTACTGTGCAATGTAGAAAGAGGTGACCGTGTGAGACTGCATTCCTCGGGCACATATAGCATCTATTAGCAATAGGGAAGTTCCTTCTGGCCAAGTTATCCTCTGTTAGGCAAGCTCCATGAAGTGCAGTCCAATTGAAGCAGATAACTTTAGGTGGTAGTTTGACTTTCCAAATTAGCTTCCATGGCCACTGGTCGGTGATTGCATTATGAGTTCCCTCTAACTTGTAGGCTGCTTTCACTGAATATCTTCCTGCTTGTGTAGGTCCCCATCTGAGCTGGTCTGGTACTAATTGGTTGCTAGAGAAACTATTTAGAGCGGCCAGTAGTCTGAGCAATTCCTCAAATTCCCAACCTTGCAGGTTCCTTCTGTAAATTATGTTCCAAGTGTTGTCTTCCCTGTTCTGGTATATTGTTGAGTCAGGCTCTCTGGCTATATGGTACAGTGCAGGATAGGCATTCATAAAAACTGTGTTGCCCAGCCACTTATCCTTCCACAACTTGATATGCTGTCCATTCCCAACTACAAAGTGCATATTCTGTGAGAACTCCTCCCTGAGCTTACAGATATGCTTCCAAGCTCCAACTTCATGTGGCGCTCTTGATTGTTTAGTGCAACAATGGTTCTCTACGCCATGCTTGGCATTGACAACTTCCTTCCACAGGTATTTATTCTCCTGAGAGTACCTCCATAGCCACTGCATTAACAAGCATTTATTCTATAAAGCTAAATCCTTGATACCCAGTCCATCTTGGTGCTTTGGTAATAGAACTTTAGACCACTTATCCAGGTGAAATTTGTGATCACTGTAGTTCCCTCTTTCCTGTTGTCTGCTGTCCTTTACATATGCATATACATATACATAACATATACACTACATTCACACACACGCATGTGTGTGTGTATCTCCATTATCTTTTAGCCTTCTTTGTAAATACCTTTCTCCAAAGATTAAAGATTACAAGGAGGGTTGACTTATCCAAAAAAGAAAAGAAAAAGAGAAGCTAATCGGTGCACTAAACCATTTGCTATAGATAAAGATGGGATAAAATAAGAATAATGGTGCTCCATTGGTGCCTTTATTATACATATTCTACCGCTGGACATGTTAGATAAACGCAATAAAGTACAAGAAGAAAAAATAGTGGAAGAATAAAACCAACAGCAATAAAGGCACGTATACATTAAAAAATGATTCTTACTCATTTCTTATTGAGTAAAGAGACTATAAGTTCAAGTATTTAAGTTCTTATGCACTTTCCTTAGTTACGTGACCGGCAACTTGAGTATTTGTGGTCCTTATTGGTTGAATTATATAGTTTAGAGGTGAGTAAGATAAATTGTAATTTTGTTTGGAGTGTGCCAATTCTTAAGTGTCTTAGTTCCTAGTTTCAACATTTTTTTTATGCAATTTACACGTCATTTATTTCCAGCACCACTTGTCATTTGATTGCTTTCCTGTGTGTTAAGAGGATAAGAATAACATTGTTTTTCTCTCTTTTTCTCTCCAATTGCTTATACCATCATTCTCCAACTTTATACTTATCAAAAGACTGCTTTCTCGGTTTTAACTCTTCTTGGCATTTGGAAATTGATTGGTTATGATACGTATCCAAGTGAAGATTGGCATGCATAGAGCAACTATAATATCACTTGTCAAAATGAGCAACTATAGTTCTTTTTTCTGCTTGAGGGGGTAGGGGTGCTTATCGGGCGGATCTGACGGATAATTACGCTTAACGGTTCGGCTTATCAGTTATCGGATTATAAATGTAGTAATTCGCTAGCCGTTCAATAAGACAACGGGCGGATTGGTATCGGATTAACGATTATCGGGCGGTTTATCGGTTAAACCAAATAGAAATTTTTTGAACAATCAATACCAAACGGCCAAATGCATAGTTCAAACTGTCTCTGTTAGTTTTTGAACAATCAATACTATTAGCATTATTATCCACAAAATAATTAGAAAACCCCACTTACAGACAAACTTCAAACTCTAATTGTAAGCGAAGTAATGAAACCAGAGAGGAATTCAATTCATGTCCACTCATAATTCATGAGAAGCCAGAGACAACTGCCATTAGCTATAGACAGTTCTATCATTCTATGTACTTATGCAACTATGTGGTAACAAGTTTATATACATAGGGGTAAAAGTGTAAATATAAAATTTTTAACGGTTAACGGTTTATCCGATAAGAAAATTGAGTAATCCATCCCCAAACCATTAAGTCGTTAATTATAAAATCTCAACCCGTCACATCCATTACCCCGATAATCCGATACCAATAAGCCAAGAAGCCATCGGTTCGGTTTTGAACAGCCCTATGAGGGGGGAAGGGCGGGGGGATAAAAATTTCATTTAAGAGTGTTGATATCCATCTATATAGTTGGGACCTACTACTTAGCACGTGTATGTTCATTATCCTGTTGTTTGTTTCTTAAATAAATGAGCAACCAGATTCTACATACTCTTCACATTATTTTCACTATCATGGAATGATCTCGTATTTTTGCATTCCAAATATGCCAGATGAGGCATAACGGTGTTGCTCTTTAAGTTAGATAATGCTTGATCACTGTCTTTGGTAATACTTATTAAACAATAAACATATAAAAAACCAAGCTCCATATCAGTGATCTGATGATATAATGATTAACAAGAGGGGTATTGCACGAGACTCAGGATGATTCGCCTCCTCCTCCTTAAGTTTTCTGTAGTTACGCGTACTTTTCATACCACTCACTTTTAGCATATTCTTTTACACTTCCTCTTCCCCCACCCCTCTGATAATTCCATCTAAAAAGTTTCGCTTGAATGATTTTTGCAATCCTTTGTTACCCCAAGGATATGGTTAATGTTTTCTGTAAGCACTGCGCAACCTATCCCACTCAGTCCTATAAGGTCGCCGAATTTTTTTTATCCCGCATAATTTTCTGGTTATACCTTCTTAAATAATTCGAAATAATTGGTCCACGCCATATCATTCACCACCCGTGAGTATGCATCCTTCAGGATTGCCACATCTTACCACACATCCTCTGAAAAAAGTATCCTTTTTCGGCTAATGATTTTATTGTCAAAGTGCTATAGCCTGTTCTTTCCCTTTAAGATCCCCTTCCATAAACTCACCTCATGTGATTGTTTCACAATATTTCTTCTTTTTTTCTCCATAATTTGGATTGCTTACAGCATCAGTTGATGGCTACTGAACTGATGGGTCTTTAGCCTTTAAATCTAAAAGAGGTAAAAAGTCTTTGGCTTTTAATACCATTCCTTGCTATATCAGGTACTGAATGCTGGAAAAAACAAGCTCAAATCAATGAACGAGGTCAGTGGTCTTGTGAACTTGCGAGCACTGATTTTGAATGGTGAGGTTCTGTATATGTACCACTGTTTTTCTCCATCAGAGCTTAGTATCTGCTGGATAGTTAGTTTTGTATACTGACCTACTTTTGCCTTTCTGTGGTAGACAATGACGTTGTTTCAATTTGCAAGCTTGATAAAATGCAAGAGCTGAATACATTGGGTATGGGTTCCACGATCTCTAATTTTATATTTTCATGATCAATTCTTAGTGCGTAATTGAGCATGGTGTACTATATTGTTTGCTATTCCGCGAACATTACTCAGATCAGTAAACAGATTCCCAGTGCTTATATTTGCGAGTTTCAGTATACTCTCTTATGCAATACAAATCCAAAGTATCTATTAGTGTGACTGATTCAGATGACCCTTCTGGAGATTAAACTTACAATGATATCACCAAGATCCACTCAAGAGAACAAGAACATACCACAATAAATCTCAACTCCTTGTACCTCAGTTGCTATTGTTTCATATGCCTAGGCATTTGGTTGTAAAGTAAAAAATGAGACAGGTTTCAGCCATAGAGATACTGACCTGTTAACTTAAAGAATTGTATGAAGTTGGCTGAACTCCCAATCATTTGTTTAGAGAACAGAGTGTGGAATCAAGAAGATAACAAGGTTTTTGGTAGTTAGTTACATGTTGAATAGGATCGTACATGTTTAGTTCAAAGAAAATAAAAGAATGATAAAGAATAAGAGTAACAATCTTTTGTGTTCTTTTAGTTTCCCTTTTGTCATTTCTTTTTTATTTGTTCGACCAACTCGTTGATGATTTTTGTACTGAATACTGAAAATTCATGAATGTTTGATGTTTGACAAGGCTTGACGGGATCAAGAGGCTGTTATTAGCCGCCATTGGCTTGTCTGAAATCTTGTTTGTTACTTCTGTTGTGTAGGCGGCTGTAGTTACTCGCCCTGGGAGATGATTTGGCAAATTGCTAGTGCTAATTAGACTTGTAAAAAACTGTTTATCTTTTGGTCCTCTTGGACTGTGATGGCTGATTGATTCTAGTTGCCCTTTTGTGCCTCCACCACATATTGCATCAAGATGAATAGTCGTTAACTTGTGTAGTTGTTGGCCTTTCTGAATTTCAATGTCAAAGTAAATTAGTCTGATTGTGTTTCATTTTTGCCGTACAATCAATTAAGTTGAAAGTGTCCCTCTGCCTTTTGTTTCTGTTGCAGTCCTTTCTAGAAATCCAATATCTGGAATTGGGCAGAGTCTGGCCAAAATTAACTCAATCACAAAAGTAAGCGCTTCTTCATTTCCCGTTTATCTTCTACTGCATGATAATTCATTATGGTGTACTATGTCCTAACACCATATGTGTACTGGCCTTCTAGTTGTCTCTGTCTAATTGCCAACTACAAGGTATTGACTCTTCACTCAAATCCTGCACCGAGTTAAAGGAGCTACGCCTTGCTCATAATGATATTAAGGTAAGTGCTATAGCTAATTATCAGTTATGTTAGACTGCAGAGGCTTCCTGAATTACCTGCAAGTCGTTTATTTTTCTAATTTTGCATCCTCTCCATGGTTTACAGACACTTCCCAGTGAGTTGGCTTTTAATATAAAACTACAAAACTTAGACATTGGAAACAATGTTATCATGAAATGGTCAGATTTGAAGGTAGTCATTTTTGCAGATCTCATTTATACCCCCTCAAATTCCTCTTTGTTTGCTTTGTATCCTACCTCTTCTTATTTTGACAGTTATCTTACTTCAAACTTTTGCTTTTGCGAATATGTGGTTGTGTGGCTTTGTGGTAGGTGCTCTCTTCATTAGTTAACTTGAAAAACTTAAACCTACAAGGGAACCCCATTGCTGAAAAGGAAGCTTTGGCCAAAAAGGTTAGTGCATACTGTCTTTCCCTGGATCTCAAGCTTTAATATCATGTACTGACTAACTATGTTTTACCAGATCAAGAAACAGCTGCCAAATTTGCAGATTCTCAATGCTAAACCTATTGAAAATGCCGTGAAAAAGGAAGAGGGTGGGAGAGTCGATTTTGAAAATGAAAGTGGTCATCTTGATATTGCCGCTTCTGATCGTAAGAGGGAGTTGGTACAAACAGAAAAAAGAACCAATTATGACGTTGGCGTTCCACCTGTTGAACTTGGCACAAGAGAGGAACAAAAGCGCAAAAAACAGAAGAAGAGTGAAGTTTTGAAGGAGAAAGCATCAACCAACAAAAATGATACTGCCGTCAGGGATAAGGAACCAGCTAAAAAGTCTAGTAAGAAGGCTAAACAACATAAAGCAAGTGCCATTGACGATGGAGAAACTCCTTTTGCAGATCTTTTTGGTCCTGATTCATCAGAAGATCCATTGACTAGTAGTCGGAAGAATCACAACACACTCCAAAATGTTGATGCAGCTGCAGGCTTGGTTACGTTCCCAAAAAAGAAAAAGAAGAACAAGAATCTGGTAACTGGTGCTGCTGCTATTCAATTGTCATCAGCAAGTGATGAAATTGGATTGGGTGGTACATCAACGTGGGGCGACTAGGAAAATAGCATCACAGAGAAAATTAAGTAGCATCAAGCTCAGACTGTGAAGTTAGCTACCGTCAGTTAAGCCCGGGCCTTCCATTTTGTTAGATTGCTGTGCAATAAGACGTTTGCACGGTTTACATGAACAAATTGGTTTCACTTCCTGATAGAAGCTGTAATTTATGGTGCTATGACTGCAAGGCGTAAAGGACCTAATTCTTTACTTGAAAGCCAGATCATTGGGAAGGTAAAGGATGTTTTTCCTTGCTCTTGTTCATCATAGGTGTTTGGAAGAACAAAAAGATCCAACTTTGCTTTTACCAGGAGTACTTGTTGGGAAGATTTTGTACTTGTAGAGACGTGGTAAATGCGCCTAATTTAAATCTTGTTTTGAGAACATATTGTGTTTAGATAATTAATGGTCTTGTTTCCAATGGCACACACACAAAGTTGTCTGCCTGAACTTATGCATTAGCATAATGCATTAGAAACCTGAAGAATGACCCTTTGTGGCAGATAGACAGTGATATTTGTCCCATTTCTCCTCCTCTACAATCCTCAACAAACAAAAGTAGGAAATTTCTAAAGAAAATTCCAAGCGTTGTTTCTTTAACTTGCAAAGATCCATTAGTTAAAGCGGACTGCTCCATTTTAAGTTTTCTTTACAAGGGGAGCCTTGGTGTAACCGGTAAAGTTGTTGCCACGTGACCAGGAGGTCATTCGAGCCGCAGAAACAACCTCTTGTAAAGATGCAAGGTAAGACTGCATACAATAGACCCTTGTAGTCAGTCCGCCCTTGCTCCGGATCCCGTGCATAACAGGAGCTTAGTGTACCGAGTTCCTTAATTTTTTTTAATTTTTTTTGAGCTTTGCCATATTCGCCTATTCGGCCCTTCTCCATTTTGACAAAACATTCTTAAGTTTCCTGTGAAACACAGCAGGTGGCCTTATATTTCAGGGTACAAGACATTTGTGCATTAAGTTGCTATCATCGAACTTTCAAGAGAATTAGTTGTCAAATGTATTTATCAGCAGCAGATCCTTTATATTCGACGAGAAATAAATTAGAGCTCAGGACATAATTATGAACTTCCGACCAAAACCAAAATTTCCATACATATGCCTAATTGAGACTTGTAGGTAAATGGTAAGTGGGCGTTTGGACATAAGAATTGTAAAATTTCTGAAAAAATGAAATTTATTTTTAAGTGAAATGATATTTGAAAATTAGAGTTATGTTTGGACATGAATACAGTTTGGAACTGTTTTTGAATTTTTGTGAGTCATTTGAAGTGAATTTTGAAATAGTTTTTTGGAGTTTTTTAAATTTCCAAAAATTTCGAAATTCAACTTCAAGTAAAATTTGAAATTTTCATCGACAAACACTGATTCCGAAAAAAGTGAAAAGATTTGAAAAAAAAAAGGTGAAAATTTTCTTATGGCCATACGGGCCCTAAGACTTTTTATCACACAATTTTGAGGTTGAAAGTTTAGCTCTCACCAACTCTTTTCTTTTCCTTTCTGCTACTTCGAACCTCCCCAACTATTTTTCTTTTTCAAATATATATATTTTTTTGTTAGTGTCAATCAACTACACCTCCACCTAAAATCAGTTGGGATCGATTATATAAATATTCTATTATTTATTTTAATACTAAATAATTTGTACAATAAACAAGGTGTTCTTCAAATCGCATACATATTCTTGCAATGAGAACATTTTAACTCCGACTTGTTGGTATCATCTATATTCTATACCAGTCATTTACGTTCATATTGTTCTGTTTCTAACTAAGCTAGTATACGTTTGGAATTTTTTTATTTATTTCAATTTTTAGCTTTTATTTTGTCTATCACCTTTATGAACATGTTATCACACTCAAAATCTGAGTGCAACCAAAGAATTTATTGGTAAGATAATTTGAGCTCATGCCACGTATCTTGTCAATTAAATTATTTGGACACTCAAGTTTTTGGGATTTATATGTTACATTTTTCAATCATAAAGTAACGTATGATTTTGAGGAAGGATCAAGTTCACTCCCATCATAGCACGTGTCATGCATAATAAATAAGCTTCAATGTTTTTGCAAAGAAACCAGTGAAAGAGGAAATGCAAATGCTAAAATAGTTCTAATGACCAATGAAATTATTTGTTGTTTTGTTCCATCAAATCTAATGTTGAAAGATGTTTCTGAATTCTGATTAAATTTCAGCTTAGCTTGCAAATGTCAGGCGACACAATTGGTTTTCAAAAAGGTAAAATAGGAAATGCAAATTTTGAAAGACTATAGATTGCATAATTGTGAATCACAACTATAAGTCATTTTTATTGCGTTTAAATATCACGTTTTTGTAAAACTATGGTAGAAAATTTCTTCACAACGATTCCCCCCAAATTTTAATGCAATTTGCAAGTTAGCACTCGGCCACTAGCTAGTACTATATTGTATTACTTATCCATTTCCCTCAACTGCAATGTCCAAAATCAAGAACCACTGTATACTCATCTCTCATTTGTTTTTATTTTATTTTATACACACACCTGATGTGCGGTATTTGTATTGGAGCTCTGGTTAACCTTAATTCGTATCCAGTCAGCTCATAAAAGGAAAATTCTTATGCGAATGCGTTAGGCACATTTGGCGGATTTACGTTTGGAGGTACGGGTGTTGAAACATCCATTGACTTTGGCCAAAATGTGTTATGTATTCATAGATAATACTTAAAAAATTCAATAATTGACTATAAGCACCAACTATGATCATGTTTAATTTGATCACTGTGAATTTATACTAAAATTATTAAAGCACTCACGACTTATAAATTTTGGATCCGCCTGGTGATTGGACATGATCCAAACCAAGTGTTCTATGAAGAAATAGTGTAGAAGCAAATAAAAACTTAAATAGTAATATCAGGTTGATTATCAAGCATAAATTAAGTAAGAAGTCTTGAGATATATTTGCAAATTTTATTAGTATATATTTAATTTGAAGACTCATTTAAAGAAGTGTTGTCGCTCATGACACAACTAAATATTGTCCCCTTGATTTTGCTGATAATTATAGACTTCCAAGATATTGGATTGAAAGTTGCTGTGAGTGTACATTTTCCAGTTTTGCCCAATATAATATTTATGATGAAAATAATGTCCAAACAACTCTGAAAAATACCTTGATAATTCTCTTCTAGTTGCGTCTGAGTGCAAGAATCTCTTCATATGGTTGTAGCCTGTAGGACTTCATCAAGTCAATTTGATTAATCTACTCTTATCTCTCTTCAATAATTGTCTGTTAATATTGTTTACTTTCAAGAATAATTAATATTAAGAATAAGATAAGAAAGAAGTTAATTAATATATCTTAATTTATTACAACGAATGGGCCAAATATTTTTAGTAATTTTGACAATTAAAAAGGAATGGAGAAACCAGTACAATGCATGAATAGAAGGATGAAAAAAAGTTAAATGTGTTGTCATTTAATTTTTAAAAAGTGGTCTTGGAAACTCTTGTGCACTCGCTATCTATGATAGTGACTATGTAGCTAATGGTTCTTCTGTAACGCTTTAGTTTATCAATAAATATTTACTTATAATTTATAAAGGTAACACGTCTGGCGATTAAGACAATTAGTAGAGTAGTTAGTGATAGGCAACTCTTTGGTTTGCGTCTCTGAACTAAAATATTTATGATTTGTTTCAGCTAATTTGGTGCAATGAAAAGGAAGTAAAAATAATCCACTTTTCACGAATTGAAGAAACTGACATTGATGCCTATCCAATTTCTTACTTCTACTTTCTCCTTTTCCCACTAGATAAATGTTCGAGTTAGTTTGTGCATACTTAGATATTTATCATCTCCCATTCGCAGTAGGTATCAGGCAATTTTGTCCATCAAAATTTAGACATATGAAAAGAAATTATTTACAATATTTTTGCATGAGTAAAGATTTAAACTTAAAATATTAGAGTTTGTACCCACTTTATTGATCGCTAGGTCACACCCTTAAGTGCGAGAAAGGAAAAAACTTCCAACTCCCAACTCCTTTTTCTAGAAGGGGAAAAGCTCCAAAACGTTCATTCGTCTAATATTTCATGTTTTCATCCCAAACAAATATAGTGTAAATGAAATTACTCACTAATTCTTAGAGCATAGTGGCCTCGTCGTCATTTTATCCAGTATTTCACTATAATATTGAAGAGAAATTAAAAGGAAAGGTCCTGCTAGATGTAATTTTTTTATTTATAATTTTCTGAAATAACATCTATAATATAATATCATCTATAATATAATGTTCTTCTACTCAAAAACTATGGTAATATAATTTATCTTGTTTCTATTTTAATTTACGGAGGTCAGTGGCTTAGTAGTAATTAGTATTTTGCCTCAACATTTGCAAGCTTGTACTGGCACACTTGTTCATTCTTCTAGACATGTGTCCAAGGGGCGGATCCACATTTGTGATACAACTTCATTTGAACCCAAAATTTTCGATGCGTAACATAAATTTATATATAAAATTTTATTAAAATTACAACAATAATAGTTATAAACGCATGACTCTAAAAATATAATGTATTCAATACTAAAAGTTTAAAAATTAAACTCATAAAATTTAAATCCTAAATTCGTCTCGAATGTATCCTATGTAGGAACTACTTCCTCCGGTCCAAAATAAGTGATTTTTTGGCTTTTTTCTTGTGGTCTAAAATAAGTGATTTTTTCAGATTTCAAGAATGAATTAATTATTTTTTTCCTACATTGCCCTTGGAGTAATTAATGTTGGAATATGTGTTAGGAGTATTTATATGAAGAGATAATAAAGATTAATATGGTCAATTTCATTGCTAATTAATGTTAAAAGGTGAATTTCTTAATATGTGTGAAAACAACTAAAAAATCACTTATTTTGGACCGGAGGGAGTAATTAATAGTCTAATAGTACAATGATCATAAAATCTGTATATAATTTGCTCTATAGCCACGTATCCTTTGGCATTAATTAATATTTGGGAATCCCAGTTTTTGGAACTTGGTGTAATATTTTAATCATGGAGTATGATTTTGATGTAGGATTAATTTTCTCTCGTCATAGTATACGTGTCATGCATTCATGAGCCTTCCATGTTTTTGCAGTAAACTATTTTTTGTCTACCTTAATTCGAGAAGCATTTTTTATCACGGAGAATTACAAATAAAAATCAGAAAAAAAAAATCAAAGTTACAGTACAGAATTATATACTAATGTAACTAATCAATTATCAAGGGAGGTGAAAACTAAATACAGTTTCACCTTTCAACCTAAGTTTAATAGAAATTAAAACACTGTATAGGAATCGGCATTATTCAAGGATTTAGTACAAGTATATAACGTTGTTTAAGGAGAAAAGGGGGAGAATTTTGAACTTTTACTTCAAATTTATAGCACTAATGACATTTTATATTTCGAGTCTACTAACATTTTGCATTATTCAAGGATTTAATACAAGTATATAACGTTGTTTAAGGAGAAAAGGGGGAGAATTTTGAACTTT